TTTTTTTTTTTTTTTTTTTTTTCCTGAGACAGAGTCTCACTCTGTCACCCAGGCTGGAGTGCAGTGGTGCCATCTTGGCCCACTGCCAGCTCCGCCTCCTGGGTTCACGCCATTCTCCTGCCTCAGCCTCCCGAGTAGCTGGGACTACAGGCGCCCACAACCACGCCTGGCTAATCTTTTTGTATTTTTAATAGAGACGGGGTTTCACTGTGTTAGCCAGGATGGTCTTGATCTCCTGACCTCATGATCCCACCGCCTCAGACTCCCAAAGTGCTGGGATTATAGGTGTGAGCCACCGCGCCCAGCCCTGCATTTTTATTCTTGAAAGTATTTTGTTCTGTCCTGTATCATGTTTATCTTCCACAAAAAGATGCATATACATTTAAATTTGAAAATATAAAAAATTTTTTTACCCACCAAGTTCTGAGTGTTAAAATTTTTCTTCTACGTTGAGCTGTGTTTACCGTTAGTAGCATGCTGTTGATCAAAACAGCATAATCGATTAGGAATTTTCACAAATGATTCTACATAAAGTGAAATCCGATGAGGCATGCATCGCATCGTGGTCAGGGCCTTGTGACCCTGTGTCACCACCCCGCGAAGGGCAGGGCTTTCTGTGTCTCTGCGGTTGGTGCACTCACCTGTGGATCTGCGTGTCATTGTTCGAGAGAAAGCGGGTTTCCACGGGCTGTGTTCCTGTTCCCACGTCAGATTTCAGTGCCACGTAGCCTTGTTGACACAGATGAGTAAATAGGAACGAGAGTGTTGTTGTAGCTTTGTTGCTTAAGTCCTTAAACTTTGAGACCATTCTGTGGTTTGGGGCACATATTTTCAGAATTTATTTTAAAGATCGATCAGTAAGTGACAGCTAGACTGGGTCCCTGAGTTGTTCAAGGGCCCAGTGCCAACTTGTTACATTTGTTCACTTCCCCAGGGTGACGCCAGGGTTCAAGCTCTGCTGTTGTTTAGTGCTGGAGGTCTCGTGCCTGGGGTGATGTGCCATTGTGAGATGTGGGGTGGCAGGTGGCCCTGTTTTTCATGAAATGAGAAAAGGGCCGCTGTGCGGAGGGAGGTGGAAAGGGGGAGCCCATGCGGACCCTTCTTCAAAGCGGCTTCCAGCAGGAGGTGGGCACAGCCGGTGCTTGGAGGGGTCCCTGGGCTGCCCAGCCGCAGATGCCTGGGACAGTGGAGTGTGCCTGGTTGCTGGGTGTGGCCCAGCTCACTCTGGGATCCTGTCCAATGAGGCAGTGCTGAGCTCTCGGAAGGTGGTGTAAAATCACGTCCACCACGTCTGTGGCTGCAGGCGGCTCAGCAGGCGTGGGTGGAGGGGAGAAGTGGGGGTATGTGCCTAGAGGAGGTCCTGGCTATCTCAGAGGGTCGTCTGTCACTGCCACCCCCGAGGGGCGAGGGAAGCCAGATAGCACCCCCAGCACAGCCAGACAGCTTGTCCTGGGCTCTCTTTAGCGGAACGCCCCAAGGTCACCTGGAGGCCGAGGCCTGGCAGGTGCAGAGGTCCTATGGCTCCCATGCAGTGGATCAGGAGGCAGCCCAGCATTCCACCTGAGCCTCGCCCTGAATTTCAGCTCCTCCTCCTCCACGAGCTGTTGAATTCCTGTGTCCCCAAGCCGACTGCCTCTTATTCGCACCTTCTTCCCAGCCTGAGGTCCAGTTGTGTGGGTGCTTTTTGGTTTCTGGGTTCCAGATGGACACTGGTTTCCCGAGAGCTGTTGGATCTTTTGTTCTGTGGTTCAGCCCAGTCCCGATTCCACAGAGCCTCAGGCACACAAGACTTTGGTGGGCGTGGCATCACTCTGAACTTTTTGAGTTTAGTGAAGAGGCTTCTGACTCTCCCTTCTTGGTGAACCCTCCTCCTGCCTGATCCCCACACAGGCCGCTGGTCACTGGCAGGACCCCCACGACAGCTCGGCTTATGGTGACTGCGGGCAGAGGTTAAAACTCATACCCAAGTGAGGGGGTGGTGTCTGTCCTTTTGTTTAAGTTCAAGTAATTATTTTAAAGTTTGTGATTCAAGTAATTGTTTTTCATTATTAAAATACGTGTTGATTAAAAGAAAGTTGGAAAGCAAGAGGGGAAAGAAGAAAGCCTTTGTTTCCTTCAGCTCCGCTTTGAGGGCTGGACTCTGCTGGTCTGGAACACGCGGCTGCCGGCAGAGTCACCACACTCGCACTTGGCTTTCCGGCCACTGGCGCGGAGTTGGTCTCAGGTCCGCCCAGCTGAGCATTGGGAAGCGACCTGGAGCCGGTTCCTTAGCCTTTGGAGGAGCTGGCAGCGGGAAAAGGGCCTGGGAAGCCAGGGAATGTGGTCTCGGTGGGGCCCCGTTCACCAGCAGGGGTCGGCAGCCATGTTCCTTCTGAGGGAGCTGGTGGAAGGAGCTGCCTTCGGCTGGATTCTCTGCAAAGTGCATGCCCCTGTGGCCAGTTTCCAGGCTACTGGGAGGGTTTTCAGATGGGCCTCTGTGACTTCGTGTGGGGGCTTGGGGGCTCATGTTCTTGTGTGTCGGGAGCCAGTTTCCACATTAAAGGGGGTATCTCTGCTAATATGGATATTTCCTTGCTGACTCTCCCTGGTTCTCATGGGAAATTGTTAAAAAAAAAAAAAAAAAAGGGTTTCAAGCTTTTTTTTGAAGCTGAACCTAAGTGCTTAGAAGGGTGGGTGGCTGGGCCTGGGGAGTAGCATTCCTGGGCTCCGGGGAGCTTGTGGAAAAGTACTGCGCTGGCTCCTCCCCTCCCCCAGTGGATCCTGGACGGACCTCCGGAATCCGCCATCGAGGACGGAGAAGCCTGTGTCCCCCCATGGGCCATCATGTTGTCCTCCCGGCAGCGTCTGTCCGGGGAGCCTGCGGGTCAGCGGCCGCTCCCGGGGCCCCGTGCAGCCTCTTCCCACAGCATGAGCGCTCTGAGCTTGCGCCAGGATCGCCGCCATGTCCCCAAGTGACGGGACTTCATCGCCCCTTGGGGAGCGCTCCCTCAGCGTTCCAGTTCCCACTCAGGCCTGTGGGGTTGGCCCCGGGAAGCCGCCTGGGCCGGCTGCACTCCCTCTCCCAGGCTTCAGTCCCTGGTGCCTCTGTCTGGCACCAGCGAAGTTTGGCCGTTCCTTGGTCCTGGGCCCCAGGGCCTCAGGGTCTTGGCTCTGGGCGTTGTTTGCTGAGCTCACCATCCCAGAGGCCCCTGCTGGCCTGGAATACTGGGGAGGTGGGTGGCTTGTGGTGGCTGCGGCAGGAGGAACAGCTGCTCCCACGGGCCTGTCTCGTGTCTTGGTGACTGGGCTGTATGATTGCTCGCTGGTCTTAGAAGGGACTGGCACCTGCCGCTTCTGTCCTCCTCAGCTCTGTGGGCAGGAGGTTCTGCCGCTGGGGTTGGCGCCTTGGGCCTTTCCTCTTGTGGACCAGAGGGGTCCCAGGGTTTGCCCTGTCTGCTTCCTGTTTCGTAGCTAAGCCCTCCCCGGGGAGCTGGGGTTTAGGAGTTCTGTCTTCATGTTCCTTTAACCCTTCCAGGCCTGGTTTCCCACTTGAGCGGGTTGTGAGGATGAGGTTTCAAATGACACATGCCCTTTGGGGGGGACTGTGGGGCCCCGGCTGAGCCGGGCCTGCTGTCCAGCATCCCTTGGGGTCGGTGGATGTGGAAGGAGGCGATGTGACTTGGCAGGTCTTTCTGTCTTTCGCCCTCCCCCTCCCTCTCCAGTCCCACTAAAGGGGACCCTTAGCTTCTCTGTTTCTGTCTGAAGCCATGGACCTGTATGCCAGGGAAGGGGGCATACGTGCAACCACCCCATGCAGAGCCAGCCGAGTGGCTGCTGGTGTGGAGGCCCCTGTATGACCCGGCCGCTTCCCTGCTGCTGTCAGCGCCGTTTGGCTGCCTGGAGATGAAAGGTGGGCTCCCTCAGTCCAGTGTTGTCAGCAGAACCCCCCTGGCTTCCTCTGCCTCATAAGAATCCCTTATGTGTGCAACACTTTCTGTCCACGCAGGCATCTCAACAGCGATTCTTAGCAGCCTGGAGGTGCCGGGGCAGAG